ATACACACACACACTCACTCACTCACTCACTCACTCACTCACTCACTAACTAAGGTATATTCAGTATGACGTCATATTGAGTCTGTGGTGAGTTTCAGCCGTTCAGTCTATTAATGTGAGAAATTATCGGAGAATTTCTGAGTATACAGCATGCATACTCAACCACCCCATAATGCACTGCGTCTCTTCTGACTGGTCAATGGCGGACAACGAGGCTCCAGCGGGGGGAGTTGGCGAGCCAGCCGGCCAGTCCACTCACAGACCCCTCTCGCCCCCCCACAGTCACACAGACTGTTAGATAACTTACACTGACACTAAGATATTACCCTCCTCCTCCTCCTCAGCCCCGCAGCCTCCTAGCTTGCTAACTGCTAATTCTGCTCGCTCCATCTGCAATATTAATAACGTTAACTCTCCTCTACTCTGAGCCGCCGTGACTCCGCCCCACTGCTGTGGTACCAGTGCAGGTTCAGGGCTGGTTCGGACCCGGAGCCCAACCTCGAACCAGTTCTTTACGTTTCCTTGTGGTCAGCTGTGTATTCATTAGCTTATATTATATTGGCTTCAATTTTATTTTTAAGTCATGAACGTAACAGGCATAGCTACTAATTTGTCACTCTTTCCTTTGTAACTGCGATGTTTCGGAATATAAACGTTAAATCGCGATACAGATCTGTGAGAGGAACTATCAGTCGATCTGAAGATTTCAGGAGTCTGGAGTGACGTCCTTGTGGATTAAAGTGGATTTAAGTGTTTTTTCGCTCTATTTTCCCAAATGTTTCTGCTAATCAGACAGATGCTAACATGCTAACACCAACATACCTGACCAGAGGTTCTCCTTGAGATAGTCTCTCAGTGTTTGTCCTCTGTCTGCTCAGACTGGAGGGAGAGCGACGGACGGGAGCCCCGGAGGCGAGGCCACATCGAGGCCATGGAGCGTCTGCTGCAGCAGGTCCGAGCGACTCACACACACTACTGCTGCGGAGGTGAGTCTGAGGAACACAACTGAGTCTGCAGACGATGCAACACAGTCACTTTAATTCAACTGGAAACTCAACTTTGAGCTTAAAGCTTCCAGATCTCAGACTGTGAATCAGTGTTTGTGAGCAGTGAGTGAGATGTGTTTGTGTAAATGAACATAATCATATTCTGATCTCTTTATTCTATTTATTACATTATATAGAACCTTTCATACAACCTGCAGCCTAAAGTGCTTCACAGAGAAACAGCAAAACTAAATCAACAACCATTAATAAAAGTTTGCTAAAAAATGAATTCAATAAAAACAATCAAATGTAAAACATTGAAAAATGTGAAAATAGACACCAGGGAGACAAAGACTGAGACTGTGACTGCACAGATTAAAGAGTTTAATTTAAAAACACTAATTCTACAGCTGTTTGCCCCAGTACTAATTACCCCCACTGTTACACATCAGACCAGAACTGCCCCACACCTCTCCTGCAGTGTGTGTGTGTGTGTGTGTGTGTGTGTGTGTGCGCATTCAGCGTTCCCACTCGTCCTGGAAAACCTAGAAATGTAGAGAGTAGTTTTCCAGTCATGGAAACACCTGGAAATTAATTAAAATTACCCAAAATCCTAGAAATAATCCCTGTTGTGGAAAATGTTCATTATATTTTGTCTGCTCACTCAGATAATAAACGTGAAGGTTTATTAAACAGTAATATTCTGGCAGCTGGACGTCAAAAAAATACTGTAAAATAACAGAAAATGACTGACTATTTTTGTAATTTTATTAATATTTCTATGTATTTAACAGAAATTAGACAAAAAAAACAATCAATAACTGCAGGAAAAAGACAAAGACAGGAAGTTTACAGAGACACAGGAGGAATAAGAGAATAATAACCATAACAATCGTTGAATATTCAGTTTGAAACTCGTCTGCTGGCGTAATGAAGCTGAGACTTCCTCATTAAAACAAGTTACATGTGTCGACACTCGGCTGCTGGTACTTTATGTTATTACACTTTGTGAGCGAATGCTGTCCTGGAGAAAAACTCCTGTAATTGATTTCTTCCAAACGAGTGTGAACTGACATTTCAGCTGCTGTTGCTACGGGCAACAGATAAAGTGATGCTTAACGACGGCTCATTAGTCATTTAGACTCTTCAAGTCGCCTCCAGTTGGTTCCTTCCATTTCCCGCTGTGTGATGTTTGCAGGATCTCTGTGTAGTTTGTTTCACACTCTGCTGAACAGCTGCTGAAAGTGGAAAATGTGAAGCTCAAACACAGTGAACACAAACCTCTCAGTCACTTTAAAGTCTGCATGTAACAGGAAGCTGTTTACTTCCACGGAACTCTATTGATTAGCATTTCAGCCAGTAGCAACTAGTGCTAAGAGCTAGTGTAAGTATCTACCTGAGCGAACATGAACATGGAGACTATAAAGGACCAGTTTGTAGGATTTAGTGGCATCTAGTGGTGAAGGTGTAGAAGAAACTACGGAGAAAGTCTCTTTCTAGATCCAGTGTTTGTCCATTCTGGGCTTCTGTAGATTGGTGGACTCCGCCAGCAGAGATAAAAACACAATGATTCTTATATTCAGGTGATTAAACACTGATGAAAACATACTTTTTACTTTTTATTAATATATTATTGTTTTATTTACTGTAACGTGATCAGTTCCTGTCTCACTCTCTTCCAGTCTCGCTCTCTTCCTGTCTCGCTCTCTTCCAGTCTCACTCTCTTCCAGTCTCACTCTCTTTCTGTCTCGCTCTCTTCCTGTCTCACTCTCTTCCTGTCTCGCTCTCTTCCAGTCTC